ATAGCTTTCCAGAAGTTGAAAGTCTCAAGAACACTGCCTTCGGTTGTCTTGGCATACTCAATGGTCTCGGTTGCAAGCTGGACTGCTTTTCCGAATAACCCTTTCTCGACAGACGAGAGGGCGTTGTCGACTGTTGTTTGAAGCAAGGCGATAATAACGCCCTCCTCCTCAGGATGCGTTTCAATAACGGACCTGTAGAGAGCGATAGATTCGTCATACTCGCCCAATTCACGCTTGATGTTAGCAAGCATATACTTGGTAAACCAGGTGTCTCCAGAAATATCTGCTTCGGTTTCTTCCTCTAGTCTTTGTGCATTCAGAATAGCCTTAGTGGCAGCAATGTGCCGACCGGAACTGTGATAGCTCTCCCCAAGACCGACCCAAGAATGGTAATCTTCAGGGCTAATACGGAGCGCTGCCTGGAAAGACACAATGGCCTTATGGAAATCTTGCTTATTTAGCTCGGCCACGCCGAGCGCAGCAAATGGCCAGCTAATGCCCTTCCTCTTAGATCCTGGTGGCGGCTTCACCTTGCCAGAGTCAACAACTCGACGGGCGACGAGCTCGACTCTATCCCAGTCTCCGTCGTCCGCAAAAGATCGTGCAAGTCTTTCGGCGGCAACCACTTCCGCATGAGACAGTTCCAGTGCTTTCTGGAAGCAACGTCGTGATCTGCCTTTATCCTTCGCATAGTCTGCATAGTATGTTCCTAGGTACGTGTATGTGGGTGCGTAATTAAGGTTGTTGTTCAGGGCACTAAGCCAGTATGCATATGCGCACTCTCCTTTTCGTTGTTTTCGTGCAGCCTTACTAGTGTCGATGTTCCAGAGGCAAACTCCCAGGCGATGCTGCGTCTCACCCAGCAACTCCTTTGATGCAGTACCTTGCTTTTCCAGTGGCTCAAGACATTCGTGCAGTTCATCCTTTGCGGTTTTCCAATCTCCCTTGAGTGCTTTGACCCAGGCGGCCTCGGACTTTACCCTGATGTTTGTTTGGTCACGTTCCAGAGCCCGAGTAAGATATTCAATAGCTTCATCATACTCCTCCTCTTCCTCGTAAATCAGTCCAACGCCGATCAAGGCGGAGGTGGAAGTGTTGTCCCGCTCGAGAACTTTGTCAAACAGCTCCTTCGCCTCTTTGTGATGTCTGGGGGACTGGTAGTAGACTAGTGCTGTTCCGAGCGAAAGGTAATAGGAGTCCTCGGCATTTGCGAATGAAAGGCCTGTCTTCTTACGCTCCTGTGTTAATAGAGCCAAACCCTTGCGCATAAGCTCAACAGTACTCTCATACTCTCCAAGGTGAAGAAGATATTGACCAGTGAGTCGGTACGCGAGAACAGAATCAGCAGTGATAATGCCTTCGGTTATCATGATGAGTCGATCCTCGTCAGTCAAAGGAACCACAAGGGTGGGAACTCCACCGTCGTCGTCGTCAGAACTTTCGTCTGGCTCACTTTGGGCTGCCTTGGCCTTTTCTTGTGGCTTCTCTGGTGGGAATGGTGAGATTGGGCTTGTCAGGTAACTTGTGATAACTTTGTAAAGATCACTGTCGGGAAAGAATGAACAGTACGCTCGAAGGACATCCACGTCCCATTCTCGAATCTCCTTCTTGTCCTGCCACTCTATAGAAATATCCCAAGCAAGCTTGTATGGATATCTTATGGCAACCATGCCGTTGGCAAGATCGAGCACTTTCTGACGTTCGGCGTCCTTTTCAGCGCCCGTTGGAGCGACCAGGAGACGGTCATAACAGAGCTGGAGAAGCTTTTCTTCATACTGCCGTCTCAAATCATCGTCATTTGTCCAGTTGATGAGTTGCCGATAAATATGCTCAAGTTTACTCTGGCTGTAAACTTCCCGCTTGGCGTCAAGAGTGACCTCGGTGAGTTTAGCGCCCAGTTTGGTTCGTCGCTCTCCGATGAGAGTATTTATCCGGTGTTTCTCAGCCTTCTCCAAGATGTGCGCTACCGTCTCATATGTCTTTGCTGGGTGTGGGAACCGGCCCTCGAGGATGGGGTATAGAGGGCTTTCGGGGAGTTGGATCGAAAGTGCTTCAGCATATTGGGTCTCATCGCCTTGGACTCTTGCAAAGTCGACAAATTTGTCGACAACATCTTGACACTTGTACATATCATCGGCATCTCGATAAATCTGTGCCAGATTAACGACTGCCTGGTGGTAATCTGCCAGCTTCTTGTTGCTTTGCTTCTCAAATAGCTTGATCAAGCCCTGCCATGCTTGTGCTTCCTGGGGACGAAACCACGTTGCAGATCGATAAGTCTCTTGAGCTAGGTCAAGCCTGTCCTTTTTATCCAAGGCAAAAGCTAGGAAAATGTGTCTGGAAAGGTTGTCAGCTTGAGCCGCTCATGGCGGGGTACTCCAGCTCTCTGTTGCACATATTTGGTATTCTCACGCTTGGTAGTTCTTGGGATCCTTTTCCAGAAGTTCCTTTGCCTTGCTCACCGCATCGTCAAACTTTTGCTGGCGAATAGCATCGTTAATGGCCTTGAGGGCTGCCTTTGTCCCTGACATGATGGCTAGATTTCTGTTTTGTTGGAGGACACCCCCACCAAGCTCGTGGAAGCTCCCTTTGCTCTCTTGATGCTCTAAGTGGAAATTTGTGGTGAACCTTTAGATGTCTCAGCCAACGATATAGTTCAGTCGAGTGAAGTCAACAAGTCCAAAAGACAACGCTCCAAAGTACATTGAATGAATGGATCATACATAATAGCCAGGCTATTGCAGGTGGAAATGCTCTGTGGATGAATTATGTCATTCGAAGCTCAATGATAGCCGAAGATGTCCCGCCTAGGTAGGTATGTCTTGGGACCCACCTCGCAAACTAGCACTATCTGTAGATTGAGTACCTTAGATATACTAGACTACCTTAGTAAGGTATATTGCCTTATATATCTAGTCAAACTTTCATCCATGTATAGGGTTTGATAGAAATGTTAGGTGGAAGTTTGAAGAGTTGCATATAATATTAACCCTGAACTTGGTTATAGATATAGGGTAGCATGGGCTAAGGTAAAGTTCACAAATAAGGATACTCGCCCATCAAATTTCCGTCAATAATGCGATATAGCTCTGCGAGGGCAGTAGCAGGACAGTCATCTCCGCCTCGATATGGCCTATCGTCATCATCGACTACGCCTGGGTAGGGCTCCGCAGGATAGTTCCATTTTGGATCGATCATCCTCACAAGGACATTGGCAAGACGAGGCTCATCCAATTCGATGTCGAGGCCGAAAGAAAAGTTGGCCAATCTGGTGATTGCCTCTTCGTCAAGAAGGATGCATGCTGAGAACCTGCTTGTACCAATTCCTCTGAACATGAGGTCATCTTCAAGCACCCCGAGACTTCTGAGATGAGCACGGAATTCCTCCCTTACTCGATCTTCTGATGCGTTCTCTAGAGCCTCTTTGTCTTGAATGACTTCAAGCTTGAATCTTTTAGTTGCTTCCTCACTATAGAGAGAAGGTGACATTAGCCTCAGGCTTCTGAGTGTGGCCTGGACCAGATTCTCCATAGCTTGGTTGATGTTTTTGTGCGCCAGACTGGAATAAGATGTGACGAAGACGAAATAACCCCACGTTGGGTCCGTGGCTGCCTGTCCGAGTGGTCCTCGTGTCTTATTTTGATGTGCCTCTACGGCGGAGAGAAGCTTGCGCACATCGTCAGACCTCTTTTTGTAGCTGAACCAGTCTTCATTGTCACGGACCCACCGATTGAAGGGTCTCTCCCTTTCAAACACTTGACTATCGAATTCAGGTTCATGACTATAGTCTGAGGGCCGGATATCCAGGTCGACATCACTGAGATCCCGGGCTGTTTTCTGAATGGCTGGATCAGCACCAGGGCCGAATGAGCGGATTTTAAAAGAGCGCTTGTGAGGGACAGGGCGGATTTCGAGAGAAGGATCTCGTGGCGGAAAATCCATTATAGGAAACGAAGAGCTCATATTATGCAGGAAATGGAGGAAGTGATAGTTGAGTGTGGGTAATGGGAGCAAAGGCAACAATTATTGTGGATAAACAAGAGAATGCAATGTCGACTGGGTAGTATAAATACTGATCTCAGCAATGCCATCCACAATCCTTATTTCATTACTAATTTGCCGAATCAGATCGTATATGACATGGCGTTTGCATAATCATCAGCGGATAGCAACATGGCTCGTTACCTTAGTAGTACCTTAGTAGGCAGAAGCCCAGGCAGTAGGTAAGTGCTTTATGGTAAACCAATGAGAAGCCAGCGTAAAATACAGAGCCAACAAACTTACACAGATCCTTGGACAAAGAAACCAGGTGCATAAATAGGAACTTCGCTTCCAAACTTTAGGCTGTAGGTTATTTTGAGATACTCGATATTGATTCAACAGGCATGTCATGTTAAGCCACTCTAGGGGAGGAAAAAAAACTCCGGCACCTTGATCCTCAATGACAAAAGGACTTAGATAACGTAGTAAAAGTTGAGAATGCCTTTTGCTAATGATTTTGACATCCTATATCAAGGTCTGGTATTTTCTTGCTCCCTAAGACCACTGTAGTATAAGTAACGCGAAAGAGGGAGTACATCAGCTCACAGCATCTTCATGCTGGACTTTATAAGATTGCGGCAACTGTAATTTGATACTGAGTTACGCCGTCATAGAACGTCAAAGTCTATCCTCACCAGTCATTATTTTTCGGTTTGCTTATCACCCTGTCCATATCACTCACTGGGTACAACAGTCAGTCCAGGTGTTGTACCAAAGTTTTCCAATACAGTCTAACTACTCATATCGAGCCTTCATTAAGCAATCTAAAAGCCAGTTACGAGATATATAAATCTAACATTTAGTGAGTGTTGAACCAAAGTAAGGTCTATTAAGCTTTCATCTGAATCACGAGCTGTCCTACACGTGCGCACATAAACTTCTCTCGACGTCGTTTCGAACAGGTGTTTCTGTAATCTGGCTGCCTACACTCTCTACCACAGCCTAGTCGATCCGCCTACATGGTCCCATTACACGAAGATATCTTCGCGTCTTATGACCGTGATCCCGAACCCGAGCCCAGGCCTTTCGAAGAAGCTTTTGATTCTTCCTGCACACCAGTAGTAAGACAGTGTACTAATCGCCAGAAACTCGGTAGGCGCTGTTTCTGGTGCCGTTTGAAGCTTGCATCAGGGGGAGAGACTAAGGAATGTACCAAGTCAGTACTTGAACTCGTTGTTACTTCTCAAGGTGCTCAGAGAAACAACGAATCTGATGATACTATCCTGGAGCCAATCCCAAAACCTGCCAAAGCCAGAAATGAAATGATACGGCCACAAAAAGTTGCACAGAATGGAGAAACTCCGAGTGCCATCCCATGGTCTAGTTTCAATTCTCAACTACAAGATTGCTCACAGACTACCCCCAAGAATAGAACCGAGAGCTTTCATACTTCTTCCCACGAGACATACTTTTACGATGGTGCAATAACGAGCAACACTCAACACTACGAAAGCAATGTTTCATCCCGTGGTGCCAACATCCAGTCTAGGGCGAACGATGTCTACTCCAAACTAACTTGTTACTTGCATAACCATCGTTCTTCTCAGATGAAGGAACTAGCTCCTGGACCTCCATGCTATCATCGATCGGACGCAGAGATTGAGGTAGTCAAGATAGACAAAAACTGGCACCTCACTTCGACAAAGTGTCACGTTAAGAAACACGACAACGGCGGCATTACGCATGATCATGAACACCGACATTGGGCAGAGCCCTTTGGGGAACTCACTCATTGCAATAGTTGCAGGTCCCTCGAGGAAGAGAAGGCCAACATTCCTGAGCATATCAAGTTTTAAGATGCAGATATAACCTTTATAGAACGGTTACCCTGGCGAGGGTATACTCATGCGGTCTGGGTTTCGATGACGGAAACACCCCCCTCCGTGCCGGGTTCAGTGATGCGCAGCACCATTCGATATGAAGTGACATGTACCGTGTATCGCCATCAGCTATATGGACCTAGAAAGCATGTTAATACGGTCTGTAAGCCTGATGAGCCCATAATACCACTGGATTATTTTTGCTCTAGCATATATGATTTTGGCAGATCAGCTGTACACCGGGTGCAAGAAAGGATCACTGGCGTGAAGAATTCGGATGAGATCGACTAGCGAAGCTCTCTATACCATCACATAGAACTTCTTGTTGTGCCACTGAAGAGGTGAACTGAGACACTGGCAAACCCGTAAGGAGAATGGCTTGCATGTGAATACCACCAACATGCAACCACCAAGATCGACAACCGAGTCGCCACAGGGCCCGCACACACCTTATCTTTGTATACGAAAATGGAAGTGGAACTTCCATGGGGTTTTCGCATTCCAGGCTGGTTTTCGGAAAAGAAGTCATATCGTTGGTTGGGGGCGGATATTTCGGAAAGGAGGCACTTAGCATAAATGGCTCGTATGTCATGGCGGGCATAACCGATTTGGAGTAAATTGGGGGTCAGCCGTGTCATCGGATGTGTATATATACCCAAATTTTCCCTGATTCGGGTGGTTTGTCTCTTCAACATTCCTATATCATGAGAAAGCAGAGCCGATATTCTTTGACCCATAGTCAACATATTTTGACCGACACTTTCGCCACGAGCCTCGATATCTATTCGAAAGGAACATCACAACGTGGATTTCTGAAACAGCATCATTAGGCCAATTCACGAAATCATCCATTGTGGCAGCAGAACAGTCAAGATTCAGTTTTGTTCATTGTTCCATTCTATCTTTGTTATCACTCAGGCTGCCGACTTATTTCCACCGGCCAGTCCAACCAACCTATCAAGTCCGTATTTAACAAGCCTCTTATCGTTTCGAGCAGATGCGTGGCCCACCCTTCCATAAACCATGACCTTTTCATTGTCCTGAACAAAGGGACGTAATACGCCATCAAAAGCAGAGCCTGAGGTGCCTTTCGCTGAAGACAGCCGACAAACAGATCTTGCATGCGGTACAGCCAGCCAAACACAAACTTGTTCATCATTGGGACTTGGACAAGTCCCTCAGCGTTGCCAAAGTTGGCCTCGTAAACATCGCACAAGCTTTTGTGAACCCTTAGATATAGAGCAGTATCTGGGTTCTCATGAGATGCTATCCATAGTCGAAGCTTCTCAAGTGGCCCAACCCAATCAATGTACGAGAACCCCATAACCATAAAATCAGGTTTTGTATCTTCCATCTCTGAGTTTGTGCCACCGCCGCCGAGAGGGGCCATGAGGCCCGTAAAGAGCGTTGCTGGCTCGATGCTCTGTCGGATCAACCGGACTCCATGAATCACGGGAAGCCATCTTTGCGAGATTCCCTCGCCAATGACACACACAAGAAGGTCGTCAGGACCTGTTGGGCCAGCTGCAAAGGTGCAGTAGCAAACGAGCACCGCTGCGACATAGAGAGCGCCACAATTTGCTTCGTTAAGGTTCGTTAAAGTCCTGTTCATTTCGTAAATACCGAGCTCCGCATGATGCGCCGCCAGAGCAAGGCTCTGGGAATGCCGCTCAGTCCCCTTTGGTTCCTGGTATACCAGATGATACCCTGCCAGAGCATACATCATATGAAGGACGAAGTGGTAGGAAAGGCCGATCTGGGGAACATTTCGCGCCCAGAAGGATGCGATATCATCGACAGGGTCGTCAGCATCGTGTAAGGTCCTTGAGGTATTGGCCATGAAGTGGAAGAGTAACTCGGCATCAGCAATATTTAAGGAACATATCTGTGAGTTTGATATGGTTGAAGAGGAAACTGGCGTAGCTGACGTCGAAGACGGCGATGTTGTCGTCCTGTCTGATGCTGGCGGGGGAGGTGGTGGTCGCGTGAGTGCAGCCCAGTCCTTGCGTGGCCTTCCAGGACCACGTCGCGGTGTCGTGGCAGGTTCTGCTAAAACTGATAGTATCTCCGGGGGAGAAGTGTGCGGCGCTGAGTCGTCACTAGAAGGTGGTTGTGGTGCGAAATCGCAGGGTATGCCAAAGCGCACGCAGTTGGCACAAGCTGGCTTCACCTCGTCACACTGGGGGTCTTGTCAGCTCTGATCTGGGACATTCGGAGACTTTTTCTTCTTCTTTTTTTTTTCTTCCTGGGAGAACTCACCTTTACTTTTCTCCTCTTGCAGTTGAAGCATCCGTTTCTCGATTTACGGTGTGGTCTTCTGGCAAGCTTGGAGACCCGCGCAGAGGAGATGCTCTCTGGACCAGTTGGCTGAGGCGTCGTTGACTTGCGCATGCTATCTACCTTATGTGACGATGCAGTGTCTGTGAATATTATATAGAGAATGGCCAGATCATCCAGAAAGCCCCAGCGGCTATAGAAGTACGCAACGAACCACGAGCAGGAAACACCAACTCTAAGTGCTTTTGCTTTCAGGCGTCGTCATGGGCTTCAAGACCCTTCCCGAGGTGACCGGGCGATGTCTCCGTATCTGCGGACGGAAGCGCCGGACGGCCTCAGCTCTTGGACCGGGAGGGTCCAAAACACAAAAACGATGAAATTCGAGTCCGGTATTCAGAATCCGACAAGTCCCAACTCTTACCGGATCGCCGAATGTGATGTTCGTAGGGGTATTTGGAGTTGATGATCTATTAGTCCAGCCACAACCGGAATAGTAGCAGTGCCGGCAAATGTGTGTGGGTCGGTGACAGATGATTTTAGAGTTGATATTCTCGACCCGAGAATGAAATAAAATCTGATGTGAAGCAAGGGTTCTCAGCTTTATGACAAGAGCTTCTAGAACAAGAAAGGCAGGCTGTTGATTCACGTAAAATAAACAAGAAAATGGGGGATTGGTTGGGCGAGGGGAGCAAAGTAAAGTAGGCAGCTCCAGCGGAGTTAACTAACGGCGACGGGTTTTCGCATTTGTAATTGCGTAAAATGTCCGATTTGCGAGGTCGTAAAGCTATGCCTGATTCGGCCAAAGGAATCGGGCTGTCGTTAGTATCTGACCAAGTTCTCACTCTTGAGTGCAAAACGTAAGAGGAGAGGATGAAGCTGACGAGATCATTTGGGGCTGTATACCTAGGGAGGAAGTCTCACACACTCGCACCCGCGGTTTGAACTATTTACGAGGTTCTAAGTTTCTATTCTTGTTGCACAACTATAACTGCTACCTAGGTAGAATTCGTGTTAGACCTTCCGAGGGGGGGGCTTTCACGGACTCTCGGACAACTTTGCTTCGCTTACACGAGCGACAGCAGATCTGGCTGACTAAATTTGCCTGGGTGCGGCATTCGTTTTAGCGCCTAAATAAAGCCACCATCGGACCCATGGGTGACGAATACGATTGATTGATTGATATGCTCGGAACTTTTGGTCATTATTCACGCTTTATATCCGCATTTACTTAAACTGACAGGGAATTCTCGCTTTCTTTTCTCCCCCCAAGCCTTCGAGGGTGCTGCTTTTAAGTTTAATTGCAGTGGTTATGCATTTTGTACTCACCTGCCCGCCACTATGCCTCATGTTTCACTATACGATCAATATTCACTCCCGTGACGTCTACGGAGACTTATCTAAACACGATCACTAATTCTTATCTAAAGTGGCTTGCTGATATTGGAGCGAATACGGATTCAAATCGGCTGATGTTCGGGTCGCTCATAAACTCCGGATAGTGGGGGACATTGCCCGGAGATGATGGTCTATGATAATGAGACTAACAAGGCATGGCCCTCACGACCTCGGAATCAAGAAGGATGAGACATTGCAAGATCGAGTGCCCTTAGATGCCATTCTAGCTTCTCCATACTCCTAAACGTCGAAGACATAGTAAACTATTCCAGCTTCTCCATGATATCCCTTCCAGTCTATATTCCGCTGACTAACAAGGGTCCTCCTATCCCTGTTTGTCCCCAGGCGCATACGGTACCCAGCCTTGAACGTCATCGTCAAGTGGTTGCCCCAGCTAACCAGACTTGGCCTATTTCCCAGTTTCCCCTTCAGCTCCGCATTCTCGCTCTCTCAACACCAGCATAGTGGTCTGGAGAAGGGCAAGTCATGTCGTCTTTTCGCCTGTTGATTGAAGATGGCCAGTTCCGTGATGGATACGGTCGACAAGTAGTCCTCCGTGGCATCAACCTCGCTGCCGATGCCAAACTCCCCAGCGAACCCGATCAACCATCTCACATTCCCGCAGACTTTTTCGACGGTGATAATGTATCATTCCACCAGCGCCCCTTCCCCAAAGAAGATGCACGATCTCATTTTGCGCGCCTCAGACGATACGGCTTCAATACTATCCGCTACATCTTTACCTGGGAGGCACTCGAGGCCGCAGGACCTGGGAAATACGACGAAGACTTCATCCAGCATACGATTGATATTCTGAGAATAGCAAAGGAGTATGGATTCTATATATTCATGGACCCTCACCAGGACGTTTGGTCTCGTTTCACTGGTGGTTCGGGAGCGCCGTTATGGACTATATATGCATGCGGCCTCAACCCTCAGAGCTTCGCTGCGACCGAAGCAGCAATTGTTCAGAATACATACCCCAACCCTGATGAGTTCCCAAAAATGATCTGGTCGACGAACTACTATCGACTTGCAGCTGGTACCATATTCACTATGTTTTTTGCTGGCAAAGACTTTGCTCCAAAGTGTATAATTGACGGTGTGAACATCCAGGATTACCTACAGGACCATTTCATGAGAGCATGCGGCCAACTTGCCCAGCGAATCCACGAGGCAGGCGATCTGGAAGAGGTCGTTGTCATTGGCTGGGAGAGCATGAACGAACCTAACAAGGGCATGACTGGTTATAAGGATCTTACTGTGATTCCTAAAGAACATCCTTTGAAGAAGGGAACCTGTCCAACAATGTGGCAGACGCTATTGACTGGAATGGGACGAGCGTGCGAAGTCGATACTTGGGAGATGGGCGGCCTCGGCCCTTACAAGACTGGCACAACATTGGTTGACCCTCATGGCGAGGTCGCATGGCTACCAGTAGACTATGACGACTCAAGATATGGTTGGAAGCGCGATCCTGCCTGGAAGCTCGGCAAGTGTGTCTGGGCACAGCATGGAGTTTGGGACATGGAGACCGATACCCTCCTTCGCAAGGACTACTTTGCTAAAAATCCGAATACCGGCAAGGTCATCGATTATCCGCAATTCACCAATACCTATTTCATGGACTTCTGGCGAAAATATGTCAAAACTTGCCGTGCCGTCCATAAGGACTGCATTATGCTTATGCAGTTTCCTACACTCGAATTACCACCCGAGATCAAAGGAACGGAAGACGAAGATCCTCGAATGGCGTTCACGCCGCATTACTACGACGGTATCACACTCATGACAAAGCACTGGAATAGCACGTGGAATGTGGATGTGGTCGGAGTCTTGAGAGGCAAGTACTGGCATCCAGCACTGGCGATCAGGATCGGAGAGACGGCCATTCGAAACTGTCTCCGTGACCAACTCGCAACGTTGAGACAAGAGGGCCTTGACCGTATAGGAAAGCACCCTTGCGTATTGTCAGAATTTGGTATTCCCTATGATATGGACGACAAGAAAGCCTACAAGACAGGCGACTATTCGAGCCAGTCGGCGGCAATGGATGCCAACTACTTTGCAGTTGAAGGATCTCAGATCGAAGGGCATTGCCTATGGACATACTGTGCGAGAAACGATCACTTAAGGGGAGACTTTTGGAATGGAGAGGATCTGTCCATCCTTTCGCTGGATGACAAGCCACTTCCAGAATCACCAGTTCCCGAATATTCGCAGTCATCGCTGGATCTGGCGAGGACTGCGACTGCGGCAAACACGAAGAAAGATGTGGCTGATGATCGAAATGTTACACCCGACAACCTCAAACGGACACTCACCAATCCGTCGATCAGCTCCGCGCCCTCAGCCAAGGATCCTCAGCTAACCAACGCCCCTGGCTTCCGGGCAGCCGAGGCTTTCGTACGCCCTACGCCGACGGTGGTATACGGTGACATTGTGTCCACCGGATTTGATTTGCGACTATGCACATATCTTCTCAAGGTCAAGGCACCAAAAGCAGCACCAGATGAGGCGCCCACGATTGTGTATTTGCCCGAGTATCATTTCCCTAAAGAACAGTGCGAGGTGGCTGTGTCCTCAGGCAAGTGGGAGCTTAGCACAGATGACGAAGAGGGCACAACACTTCAGAAACTCAAGTGGTGGCACGCAGAGGGAGAGCAGAGCCTCAAGATCTCGGGTCTCGTGCGGAAGCACAACGTTCCCGTAGGATCCGAGGAAGATGCTGGCTATCTTGAACAATGTCAGCAAGGCTATGGATTCAATTTTGGAAGCTGCAGTGTTATGTGAGCTGAGCCTTGTTTGAGACAAGGCGCGTATAAGTCGCATCAAATTCAGTGTATGGTAGATTGAGATACGTCTGGCGAGCATGTTCTGAGATAGGCGTTAAGGTTTAATATTGAACGATATACCGGATAGGATATCCTGAAATGCTACTTGAAACCGTTCCTACCGGTGAATCGTGAACTTTGTCTGACCGGGGAGGTAATTTCTATACGAAGAGTACTCCGTACACGGAGTTAAGTTTTGGCCACGGAATTTTTCCCAGTCAAGCCATTCCTCGGCCCCTAATTGTACCGCGATTTAAAAGGGTCACCGCCTTACCATTCTCAGTAGAGTACAATTCATGATGCAGAATTTCGTGTTCAGTGTGACGCCACAGGAAAGGACTTTCAATTCGCAATTTTCCCATAGGCGAGGGGATGTCAGTTTGCGGGGAGTCCCAATGCTCTGGTAAGGGGGAATTGACTTCAAGGTGTCCCTAGTCAGGAACATTCTCGTATTCACGATACCAGGTTTATCTGTGTTGCCATGGGTTATGGATCCAGGGGTACTCTAGTGGACCTAGACAATGGAAAGACGATAATCGAATAAACATAGAGGGTTTAGAAAAGTCTGGCAGATGATGTTGAGCCAAGAGGTGTAAGTGAACAAGACACAACCGTCCCATGACAAACAATCCGAAAATGACAATTCCAATGAGCACAGGCAGGAATTGTCAGTTGGTGCCCCCCATTACCCGAGACTGGCGACATTTGAGTGATGCCGATTTGCTGGAGATCCCCCTCCATTAGTGAAGCTAGCGCATGTCTCTTCACACTCTGCACACCATCTCAGCTGTCGCTAAGCGCCAGACGCCCTCGAGCTGAAAGCCTAACGTGAGAACATGGCGCAGTCAGCCAGGTTCGAAAGGTTGGGCTGCTTTGGTTCCCTTCTGCTGAGGGGAGGGGGGAACGTGAGGAGAAAAACAGAGTTTCCCGTCTAACGGCTCGGAATAAACCTGATTGATAGTCGAACCGTAACTAGCCAAGTCGAGTTATTCGAATACTGCATTAGTTTAGTGGTCTAACTATTCTTTGTTCGATCAATTAATATTTCACGTGTTGGTCTAGTCTAACTTACCTACCTACCTAGTCCTCAACTCCAGAACTTACTGCTCCTCACTCACTATCTCAACCTGTCAGCTTCTCCTGTCCACCAACTATCAATCAATCAATCAATCAATCAATCGTCTCCTCCTCACTCCCGTCCCAGTCGGGCCAGTCCCTCCACTCCATGATCCCTGACATCTCAGCATCCTTCTCTATCCCATCCTAGCTTCGCCTGGCCTAGGCTAGCCCCCAGGATCCTTGTCGACACGACCCACCTCGACATGTTACTCCACCGCAGATACAAACCATGAAGGGTAGCGATAGCTTGCGACGGGTTAATTGTCCCGCTGCCAATTTCGACCTACCACCAGCTCAGGCCCAGGCTCAGGCACAGGCCCAGGCGCAACAGCAGGCTCTTCGGTCTCAATCTCAGCCTCAAGAGCCCATCTTGGGATCTATAACCTCGACAAGCCCGGAAATCACCACTTCTTCGCTCCATTCTCAGCCTAAGTCTCAGTCTCTCTCAACCGCCAGGTTCCGTTCGTCTTCGAGACCCAGTCTTCAGGACCTAGTCCCTGTCGCCGGGACTCCAAAGCCAACCGTCCACGACCAACCTCCAGCCTATGCCCTGTCGTCCTCATCCTCCTTGACGGGGCCGTCCTCTTTTTCCTATCCTCCAGCGCATCCAACTGCTGGCGCCGCAACGATACATGTCCATACAACCCATACACATCCGCATACGCACACACATACTGCCCCGGCGGCTGTCAATCGACCCCGGCCCCTGGGCCCATCCTCCTCCGACATAGCGACTGCAGAGCAGGCTCACTTCCTCCACCCTGTCTCATCTGCCTCGAGCTTACGTCCAAGGTCTTCCACCACTAGCGCCACTGCTGCTGCTGCTGTCTCCCCGTCTCCATCGCATACACCGAACCCTCTTCTTCGACAACACACCTCGCCGCCGTCTACCGTCGACAACAACTCTGCCCTCTTTGTTCCTCGAGGCGGGTTGCCCCCCGCGCCGTCCATCATGTATCCGGCAGGCCAGAGACATGTCTCGGGCGCTGATCCCACACGACCTTTCCAGGTCCCTCCACCGCCGCCGCCGCCGCCCATGGGAGCTCCGAATGCCGGCCAAATGGGTAGTATGATGAATCTGCCTCCGCCGCCGCCGCTTCCTCGATATCCCACCGCACCAGGCCCCTCCGGCGTCGCGATACCCCCACCACCCGGTCCGCCCCCGGCAAGTGCTCTCGGCCAGCAGCCTCCGTGGCACGGCGCCTTTGGGCGCATGTACGACGGACGGCCAGGATACATCCCCCCGCCGCCGCCCGGTCAGCACCAGCCGTACAACCCAAAGTTACACGCTCAGATCGCTGCTGGGCAAACAATCTCTATCCCTCCACCTCCTCCGCCGAATGAGGCCATGAGTGCGACCTATATACCGCAGGGCGACACTTACGGAGAGGGAGTTGGTATCCCCGCCTTTGGACTGGAAGACCCAACCCTGACTGTCAACTCGCAGACATCGCGGCCAGTGACAACGCCGCAGAGCGGAACTGACACAAATGCCACAACGCCCATGGACGAGGCCACGAGGGAACGCCTCTATTCTGCCACTAACGCCCAGCCGCGCGGCACATCCAATTCTTCAAACGCCACTCCTCCCAGCTCGATCCCACCGGAAATCGCTGCCCAGTGGCCCCTCGATACGGTTCTGATTTGGCTAGCCCAGAACCAGTTCTCCAAAGACTGGCAGGAAACCTTTAGGGCACTCAACCTGCACGGAGCGCAATTCCTCGAGCTCGGAAGTGGCCACGGTGGGCGTGGTAATTTTGGTATGATGCATCAGCAGGTGTATCCAAGGCTTGCCCAGGAGTGTACCAACAGCCGAACCGGCTGGGATCAGCCCCGTGAGCGAGAGGAGGGCAAGCGAATGCGAAGACTAATTCGAAGTATTGTCACCGGTCGACCAGCTGATGTGTCTAAAGTTTCAACGGCCCATGGCCGTAAAGAATCCCTCAATGGCGGACATGGGAACAACCTACCAAGCGCTGGAACCGATCCAATGGATTCGCCAAATGTTTGTCGACCCGCTCGGTGTTGTGAGTGTCAGCCCTTACTAATTTTTCTCGTAGACACCTCTCAATGGCCCTGGCCCTGGCTTTAGTGGCCGCAGGTTCTCTCAGACCAGATCTACCACATTACCCAACAGTGTCAGTGGGTCCAACATCAGCTCTGAGTCTAACCACCGTAATATTCTCAAACATGTCGATACGGATGGTGCGCGCCGTCATAGTCCTAATGTTAGCGAGTCGAGCGAGGCCACGTTCCGTGGCCCTACTGCGCGCTCAGCGAGTCCAACAGGCAGCCCAGGCATACCTCCGGCGCTTTTTACATCGACGACGACACCTATTCTCTCACAATCTCCTAACACAATAAAAGCTGGGCACCGTTCAAGAAGTAGCATGGATTCCGTTGCTTCTGTCGCGGCCATATATGGATCCGGAGTACCGACAGACGCCGCCAACTTACTTAGCCGGAACATGAACCTGGGAGAAGTTGTTCATGGGCGTAACCATGATATCCGATCTCGGCACTCGCCTTCAGAAGGAGGGGAGAGGTCAGCAGGCGCAGAGACACCCGCTTCGGCCAAAGATTCCAAGAGCTTCCTGAGCTTCTTATCCAGGAAAAGGAGACAAACCAAAGATGATGGTGCATACCCATCACCTGAAGAGATGGAGGCTTCCCCAACTTCACCACAGGGATCTATCCGCCCGGTAGGCTTGGGCGTTCGAGGAACCAATGGCAGCGATACTAATCTTGAGCTTGCTGGCTCAACGCTGGGTAGTTATGATGACAGGAACGGCCATGCTCTACGACCAAGGAGAATCAGCCCCGTAAGGACCTACGTCCTGGCCACCATGGATTACTGGAACTACCGAATGTGCGACATCACGGAAGCAGAGACAGCAGCGGAAGTCCGTCAAGTTATCTGCATGCATCTTGGCCTTGGCGACTTTGAAAATTCTCACATTTATCTTACAGAAGTTGGCAAGTTTGAACATGTGGATCCCCTAGACGACTCGAGCCTTGTTACCGTCAGACGAGCCAAGGGTGACCCTCTTGGGACACTTAAATTCTTCGTGACACCCCCAGGAGTTGCCCCCATTTCCAGTCTTGCCGCTAAAGCTGAGGTCCCTGTGTCCTTGTCTCCTGGTTATCTCCCACCAGGAACCACTGCTGAGGATGCCCAACGAAATAGCAGACAGCGATCCAGTTCATCGCCCCCCACCTCGCGTTCTAATACATTGACAGACGAGAAGACTGAGGATAAGGTAGCACGAGAGGCAAGCTCATATAGAGCTGAAATGGAGAGAAAGCAGCGTGAGTATCTGGCCAAGAGGAAACAAGCAGCGATGAAGGGTAGTCCGTCAGAAACACTTGGACCTGGCATCGTCGGCCGGAATGTCGATTTCGACCAACCTCGAGAGTCGCCGTATGAGGACAAGCGGCCAGAGCAACTCTTCCCCCAAAGACGACCTCCAGCTCCACCAAGCGATCCTTCTGCGACGTTGATCAAGGCGAACTCGCTAAGCAGAAAGACTGGAGCCAGCATGCGCGCATCAAGTGGCAGTCTTGAGGGATATCCAACACCACGGCATCCGACCGAGAGTGAGATGACAGAGAAGTCCAGGAGATCCAAGGGAACATCACAGCCAGCTACAGGTCCTGCTGGTATTGGGGCAGCCCTTGCAGGCATGGGCAGAAACTTGAGCGCTATTGGACAATCTGCCAAGAATACTCGTGGCTCTTCTCCCTCCCGATCCTCAACACAATCAATTCCTGGAGGTAAGGACACCTTCTCTAGCGTCGACCCTCCTCAACCAAGCTTGGGTCGAGATAGTCCCAGTTCAATAGCAACACCAGGTACCGTGACCTGGAGCAAGAAGAACTTGCCCTTTATTGTGCCGGACTACTCGCCCAGCCAATCACCTATGCTAAGTCCTAATCTTGAAGCTGCACCAGAAGCTAAATTCTTTGAAACAGTCCCGAGAGCAACATCTCCTACTGGTATGAGCCCCAACTCGAGACGTACAAGGGGTGCTTTCGCCCCAGACCATGCGTCACCTCCAAAACGACGTGCAACCCATGGGCCAGATCCAGACTTTGAGGACTCGGATGTCCAATTTTCGAAGCCTGCTCCCGCACCACCAGTTGACGATGATAGCGGGGATGATTCGGATGACGGGCTCTTTGCCATCCCTCTTGCCAATCGAAACAAGGGCAAGGGTGCCACTGCGAATGGTGATGCCAACGGTCACAACAAGCGTCCTAGTCTGACGGTTAATACGGCGCGCTCCAGGAAGGGCCTCTCAGTTGCCTTTACATCGCCCAAGTCATATGGCAGTAGCGTGACTCCTGACAGTAACGAAGATTCCCGACAAAAGCCGACTACTCCCCGTTCCGAAACGTGGGAATCGGAAGACAAGGACAAAGACAGTAAATTGGGCCGGCGAAAGTCGTTCATCGAGAAGGATGTGTGGGCTAATCGCCCTCCAACGGACGCCCTTATCAATAACCTTGACGACTTCTTCCCCAACCTGGATCTTGATCAACCTGTTCTTGATGAACCTGGCGAGGGTGGACTGCCACCATCTCCAATTGCCGAGGGCACGGAAACCACATCTGATCAAGGGCCATCCCAGCCGGCAGTGTCGAGCCATACTCAGCAAGCACCGCCTGCAGCAATTCCGCCATCCCGGCAACCATCTCTATACAATGAAAACGATACTCTTGGCTCCGATGAGTCGACCCTCAAAGCCCTCGATCAACAGAGGCCCACTTCTGTGGCTGCAAGGAGTATTCGGCGCTCAGGCGGTCTCGGTCGAATGAAGTCCATTCGAGAAGTCGCCCGAGGCGCTCACGAGGCCAACAAGCGAACCAACTCAACTAATCAAGGACCGTCGTCAGGCAACATTATGCGCCGGAAGAGCACGAAGATGTTCAACGCCAACATTGTACAAATCCGACCAGATAGGCGTGGCAGCGTCATAATGCCACAGATTCCTCAAGATACAGTGCCAAAGCGACAGACGACATTTAGGTGGTTCAAGGGTCAGCTCATCGGCAAAGGTACTTACGGCCGAGTGTACCTCGGTATGAATGCCACAACAGGAGAGTTCTTGGCTGTGAAAGAGGTTGAGGTGAACCCCAAGGCGGCTGGTGGTGACAAGAGCAAGATGAAGGAGCTTGTTGCGGCTCTAGATCAGGAAATCGACACAATGCAGCACTTGGACCATATCAACATTGTGCAATACTTGGGATGCGAGCGAAAGGAAACTAGTATCAGCATCTTTCTCGAGTATATTTCTGGTGGCAGCATTGGATCATGTCTGCGCAAGCATGGCAAGTTTGAGGAGTCTGTCGTGTCTTCACTGACAAGACAAACACTCTCCGGCCTCGCCTATCTACATCGCGAGGGCATTCTGCATCGCGATCTCAAGGCCGACAACATTCTTCTTGATTTAGACGGAACGTGCAAGATCAGTGATTTCGGCATCTCCAAGAAGACAGACAACATTTATGGCAATGATAAAACAAACAACATGCAAGGTTCGGTATTCTGGATGGCCCCAGAGGTCATTCGGTCCCAGGGCGAAGGCTACAGCGCCAAGGTCGACATCTGGAGTCTGGGTTGTGTAGTCCTGGAGATGTTTGCTGGCAAGCGCCCCTGGGCCAAGGAAGAGGCTGTTGGTGCCATCTACAAGATTGCTAATGGCGAGCGACCACCGATCCCCGAGGACATCCAGGATACTCTTGGACCACTAGCCGTTGCTTTTATGATGGATTGCTTCCAAGTGTAAGTTCATCGATATGACAGTGTTGCTCGCGAGGCTAACAAGGCAGAAACCCCTTCGACCGTCCTACAGCGGATGTGCTCCTGTCGCAGCACCCGTTCTGTGAACTGGATCCAAACTACAACTTTTATGACACAGTGCTGTATCACAAAATCAAGTCGTTCAAATAAACTAGGTATAGATACACGATCTTGAACGAGGTGGTTAATTATCCTTCCCTTCTTTTTTTCTTGCATGTATCAGTGGCATGGGACTTATACGCTTGTGAAGTTCGAGAGCGACGGCGTCATTATGGGAACACGGCTTGATAGCTGATTGGCATTGCTTATGTATGGGGGGGGGCGTAAATGGTAATGAAATGAACGGCTTCATGGCTGATGATAACCGATACTGTGAATTATGTATCAAGTGACCCAAAAGAGATTGTCCAAGCTACCTATACTTAGGTAGTTACTAACGTAAAGTCAAAGTGTTTCTACCTCTCATAGTATATGTTTAATATGGGCTTATTAGACTGTTACTGGGCCTCTGTCCCATCATATGCTTGTCGGTCGTCACTACTCCAAAGTTAACATGTATTAAGCCTTGTAAAAACGGAAGTTTATCTCTGGACGAACGTCACCAAGATCGCACAATGTTATAAAAGTCCACATCTCCGTTCAGTACTACTACCACAAGGTCATTCATCTTAATACACTCGAGTTTTATCCAGCAAACGCGGCTTCTCCCAAGCTTGTCAATACTTTTATATATTCTACAGTACTGTTCATGGTGAACCCTGCCACCGAAAGCGCTGCTCTTGTACTATGCGGCTTATACGAAGATCGAGACAACAAGGAAAATGTTGGGCCTTCATTGCCGACTCCTAGTCCTTCTCCGGCGTTGCCAACCCCTCCATCATCGGATGACCGGCTTCATGTCACGGACAGTCCACCTCCATCACAACCAAAGCTACCACAGTGTCTGGAGCCTTCAATTCCGCCGCCGCAATGTCACCCCGCTGTCCGTTTTGACCTAGACCATCCCTCTTTGACTCCAGGGGCGAACTGTACCCATTCTCAGCTTTTGCTTTCACATCAAGAAAGGAACTCACACCCCGGCCGCCCTGCATTACACCTCAGGGGCTTGTTCAGCAACAATAAGCTTCTCCCACCATCTGGCCCTGATCCGAATCGACATCGGCAGCTATCGTATCATGAGGACGGCACTCGGAGAGAAGGTATGGCGGCATTCAGCTTACTCCTTGCCCACCTTCCTAACATACACAACTACAAAGGGGGTGCTAGAAATGAGGGCTCTCCTCGGGGAAAAGAGGTTTGAACTCTGCCATCTCATGGAGCATAAAGAACACAAATATGGTGGGCTTGGGCTTGAGCTCTACACTCTCATGGAGCATAAAAAGGGTGACCTTCCCAGAGAGCTCGTCGAGAAGATGATGATGCTTTACTTGGAGTCCGGCTTCAGGTTAGCCGGAGAAGGAGACCAGCAGAGGTCCATCCTCGAGCAGGAACGGGCGAAAATGGAAGTTGTTTTGAGTTGGATATCGGCCCTCATTCGGCAATGGAATAATGATGTATCGAAAATACCTTTTTAAGATGCAGCAGAGCAAAATCCTCATCATCACCAGCAACATCAAGGGGCAAAAGTCTAGATTGTGGCGGAAGTCTGATGCACACAGCAATTGAGTACGCCCTCACACATACTTTCGGTTAATCGTTTCTTATGAATCTTGGCGTTGACCATTCAAGTTCATTGCCTTCTCTACAATATTTATTGCATTCCAAATATAAGTTAATAGCAAGATATCAGTCCTCGACAGGCACCATGACAAGTAAATTGACTTACTTGACTCACTTGACTCACTCTAACTTTTGGTCTCTAGCCCATCATTCTTTACCGTTGGTCTCCCTTGTCTCTCCAGCCTGTCCTTTGCCGGGGGCAACATCAAACTTCGACTTCCAAGTATCCTCCTGTTTGAACATTGTAATGCACTCAGCAGCACTTGGCTGTCCGTATTCAGGATCCGCGCCGCCATCTAGCAACTCCTTGATTTCGTTGTTAGTTTTACGTTTCAGCTCCACATCTCAATATATATTCTAATCTGGAACATCTTCAGAGAATGACTCACTTGGATTACTGCATCTTCCTTCTTGAACACTGCCCCAGCGAGAGGACTCTGCCCTCGGTCATTGAGGCGATTAGGGTCCGCACCATGTTGAATGAGAACCTTTACAAGATCGGCATGACCATGATACGCAGCGAGCATAAGCTTCGATTGTCAGAACAGACTTCTTGAAGAGGTGATGCTCGAGATATGCTTGAGTGTCATGATCATACCAGAGTATCGCCCTTGTCATTTGTCAGGTTTGGAGGTAAGCCTGCTGGAAGAGCCTGCTCAAACGTAGCCACGTCTCCCTTCCTCGCCGCATCGTACATCCTGCTTGCGAATTCTATCATCTCCGGCGTGAGAGATCCCGCGCGGGCTGGTTGGTTTGAAATGTCGCTCATGATGGTGCCCTAATTGCGGCCTCAACACGATTATGTGATGTTTCGGGTGGCAAGGCTAAGCTAATTAATGAGTGCAAGATGTTTAATTTTTTAGTAAGCCACAAAGAAACGGTCGATTATGGGTGCTTGTGATGTTGTCGCGATGATGGAAGAGAAGCCCCGAGTTATCGACTGAGGTTGAATGAAATGACGTATGCTACCTAGGTAGGTATGTAGCTTTATTCTATGGCGTAAATGCTGGTAAGACAGTTTGATGGGACAGTTACGGAGGCGTACTTCAAAAGAGGAACATGATAAGGCTGTTTTCCTAAAACAATAATATTGCGCAAAACTATTTGCTAAGCTGCCTTTCTTGGAAGATCTTATTTCCAGTTGCTCTCGTATCATTCTTGGTGATATCAATACGCATACTCAATCTGCATCACGCCCAATCGTGGTGGGTGGTCTCTGACCTGAAAACTCATATGCCCAGGCTCCCAGGCTCAACGACTCGTAAGAAAAAGAACAAGAAGAAAAAGTGTCATCACCGGTGGTGAGCCTCGTATTTTGCTCGTGTACTAACAACGGGAAAATAATGGAATCGCGATGCATTCTCGTACAGTTGTGTTCACAAGGGGATAGATAGATGGTTGTTCAAAAACGCCATATGTAGAGCATCGATTCGTTTCATGCTAACCATTTCTGATCAGTCGAAAAATAGTGAGTATCATCAGAGAACCTACCGTAAGGTACTCGTTTATCTCAAATGTTCGTTTCACACTGCATTTAGTGCAGAAAGTCTGTAATACCATCGCCTTCGCCATTGTCTGGCTCATTTGGAATCGGCGGGTCAGGTTTTGGCGTCTCTGGACGATGCGCAATGGCAACGATCGGGCTCATGATGACTTTGATGTGTTCTCCTTTCTTCTGATGATATTTTGTTCGGGTCTTTGGGGACAGTTCGGTCGAGAAGATGACAGTTCTTTACCCTCGAATATTAAAGAGGGAAATGGGTGGGATATATAAAAGCAAAAAGTCAACTAACAGCGCGGGGGGCACGTTACGTTACGTCAGGGTTTGTGAGCCATCTAAATCATTGGAGGAGTTGAGCCAAAGACAAAAAACGTGTGGTTTACACTCTATCCAATCCATTCCGACTCAGCAATTGCCGCGTGGGTTAATAAGGGGTTGCAGTTGGGTATGACGAGCACTGTAGTGAGTGATCATGCGATTCTTCGAGGCCCAATGTTTTTATTTTATTTTTTTTAGATACCCTCAAAAGGGCCGTTAAGTACCAGGACCATGGATATCATTTAGACAACTTTTTATAGTTGACAGAGAATGCGGGGGGTCGGGGATTGTTCTTCAGATCTTTGGTAACATGTCCTTGCTTTTTCCGCGGATCTGGATAATCAATCGTTGGTAAAGGTCCCTGATGAGCATAGGGTAAATGAATTGTTATAAGTTATCTGTCATGATGCACCCGACTGCATTCATTGCACATTGAACCTGGTCTCGATACTAGCATGACATGACATGATATGATCTGATATGATATCAAGCATGTGATTCGAGCCTCGCGACATGCAATAAAATTGACTGGACCCTGAACCTCTCTTGGTCATTGCTGACTGATGCCAGCAATTATAGAGACACCTTTTGTCTCTGCAAAAACACCATTTCTTCATTCAAAGGAACCACCTGGACTAGACAAAAATGCTCGTCGCTCAACTTTCCCCATGTACAGTGTGTAGCCCCCATCACGATGTGGAAGTATGACAGGGACAGGGAGCAAGGGTCGAGGAAACCCAATTGGTTGTGACATCTTTGGAGCAGTTGGCAAAAAACACAGACAGACAGACACAAATAATTGACAGTTGACGAGTGTGTCTGTTGTCGAAAATTGAGCGAGATCGGCATCTAGGACGTTTCGGGGTCTGTATGATAGCATCAGCCCTTGGACGACATATTCTTAGAGATCCTCAACACCACGCTTAGATTACCCGAAGCAGCATTTCGAAAACAAAGCGATGGAAGAAAACCAGCCAGAATGGGATTGCTGCCAAGTTGCCCATTGTTACGATCTCCATTCCCCTGATATTTTTGTACTTCTGATGCTGTGTGGCTGAACTAACAGTCGGATCCGGCGGGAGAGGGAGGATACTTCGGCTTGTGATCCTACGAACGAGATGAGGGGTAGCTCTCTACTCAAAGCGGTTCACAACACTGGTACCTCATGGCAAATGTTGGTTCTCAACTGATCGTCATCGAAATCTCAAGCTTCTTGGATTTGGCCGAGCTTTCCACTGATGGGTACATACTGTAAGACTCGAATCCTTTGCGGATCGCTTTTTAGCGGGGAGACGTAATATCAGATCAGGGCAAAGCGGGTGTCGTGCATGCATGAGACGGACTAGACTGTCTAGATTGGCATCAACTTCTGAGCTGTCTGCTGTACGGACGGTGCATGCGGTCACGTCGGATAAAATGGAGGATACAGACAGAGAGAGGTCAAAGTCAAAACCAAAAGGTCCACCATGAGTTTGCTTGCATCCATCCATTCATCCACCATCCATCCTTGAAGGGCGTGTGTGCATGGAGAGGAGAGGAGACGAGACGAGACGGGAGCAGGAAGCGCTTTGTGAGACAAGCAAGTGGATATATCTTCCCCAGAACGCTCAGGGCCAAGAGAGGGTTTTGGAGAAATGATTGACCATCATCGTTGATGAGTCCAACAACAAACAAGTCATGAGAGACAAAAGGGTTCGTGTATGACCTCAGGAGTTGGGGACTCACTGACCCAAGGTATGTATGCATCTCGGACAGGTCACAGGTCCACCCTTTGCGTTCGACAGCGTAACCCTACAGTACTGTAAAGTACAGTACAGCACAGGAGAAATTTCCTTTCCAGTAAAACAATACGCAGGAATTATCATAACTCATAAAGCATGCCACAAACTGACTCTTGACAATCCCCAATCTTTGGATGGGAACCCAATCGGCCGGTAGACGGCCAATTTGCGTTGCATTTCAGGCCACCAAACACGTCGGGTGAGCTGCTACCGACCCAATATGAGATGCCATCATGAGAATAATTTAAAAGAAGGACATTCTCGTAAAATTGAGGCTAGGGTAAAAGTATCATGATATCAGTCCTTGAGGTGTTGTAACATCAGATGTTAGTTGGATCAGCCACAGACGATACATGATAAATGGGTATGGGTACTTGACTTTAGCCTATGGCTCGGGTGCATGAGCAAGTACAGACTGACTAAGCCCGTGTACCTCCGGCACCGGCACCCGTCTAAACCGTAAGCGGGTCTCCACCAGCGGCCGGGTCCTCCCACTGATTGATTCTTCCTCTCCCAACATCATCCTCCTCCTCATCATGGATAACTACCTAGCCATGATCCATTAATTGTTACACCCCTGTCAACTCTCTTCTCTTCCCCCCTGGGGCCCCAATCAAAGCTCCCCATTCTCCAGCTTCCTCCCCTGCCCATCAGATGTCAAGCATGTCCTGCGTGGCCATCTGTAACCTGGAAAATCAAGTAGCTTGCCTATTGATTGTGCTACTGATAGTCAGAAAACGACTGTCGATGTGAAATAAGGCCCGACTAGCTAACATGCCACATTCTGAGCCTTTCTGGGCGCTGCCTGTTTCAACCTGCTTGTTTGCTAGCTGAGCCTGCTATCGATTTATCCCCGCGAATCAACGGTCACGAAACGATTCTATACTGCCTATACAGTGCTGCTATGCTCGTCGGCTCTATCAAGCCCATCAGCACTTTGAGCAATTTGACTCTGCGATTGACTTTGGTAGTGATTACGAT